TTACTGATAATCGATAATTAATGATAATTTGTCGAAAATAGAGTTTTCGTCAAGCAGTAATGTATCATCATTCGGCATGATAATGAAGGAATATGATGTTGAGTAGAGCGAGAGAGTAGAAGTGTCTAAGCTAAAACAACAGAGAGAGGGGGGCAAATGTTTCATTTCTTAATATGTGTATGACAGGGGAAAGAGAAGAGCATGAATCGAGGAAAATTCAGTGTAGTATTGATGCGATAGTTTCTTTTTACGTCAATTTGATATTGTTATTGTCTTCTTATAGGATATTCACAAAATATTCTAGATGTGTGTATGGATACAAGAGTAAGAAATGTTTCGAGAACATCTGTTAAAGATTCTTATACCGAAATTATACCACAAAAAATATTACTAAATTCATCATCAAAAGATTATCAAGAGTCAATACTTGTTAATATAACAAAAGAAAAAGGTCCATTAAAATTGATAGGTAAATTTTTAGATAAATATGATTCGAAAAAAATTGAAATATTATCGGTATTTTTGGGTGTTAGTGGTGTTGGTTGTCTCATATTTGGTGTATGCATTTTAATTATATTTTATACTGCGTATAATAGTCGATTATCAACAATTGATTGCAAAATAAAAAATGTCACTTATCCTTATGTGAAATTATGTAAATCAAAACGATGTGAAATATTCAATTATTGTGTACCTTATGTATGTACCATTGTCTATGTCGAATATTTATTCGAAAATGTTCATTATCAAGAAAAATTATTATCAGATAGAAAACAACAACAAAATGATGTAAACGTTGATCTATTTAGCTTTTATTGAATGATAGGAGATAATTTACATTTCTATGTTTAGGATAGTGTATGTTCATTTGAACCATTTTCTTGTATCTCTCGTCCTCGAATTGAACAAGACCATGTTGATTTTATAAAACGTTTTGGTATATCGAATAAAGATTCAACATGTTGTATCGATAAAAAACGTTTGCCTTTTCAACCGATTGCCTGTATTTCATGGCCATTGAAATTCGGTTTACAATTATTTATATTTATAATTTGTTTCTTATTTGGTATTGTATTGCTTATCGCAGCTGGTTTAAGTTATCTTCATATTATGAGATTATCTCATCGTCGAAATACTAAGCAAGATATATTAAATACAATATTAGATTTTCGTTTTAGTGATGAATTATCAATAATTTCCGATCAAAATATAAAGAATGATCAAGATCATGCATCACTTGATTTACCAGAATTAAATCCAACACCAAAAGAAGTCTTTGATAATATAACAAAATCGTTGAGTAAAACACCAAAATATCGATTTTCTACATCCGGTGATGCACTGATCGCTCAATCTAACACATTATCACATCCATTTGTTGAAGAAAAAAAATTACCAAATGATTTATTATTCAATGTGACAGAAGAAATTAAAATATTTCAAAATGAAAGAGAAAGAGTGAATATAGAAGAATGTTTATTAAAAGAAATTCTAAAGTAAGTGACTGTTTTGCTGTTAATTTGAATGCATTTAATCATCAGGATATAAAGAAATAGTTTGGACTAATAGAACTGTCTTGCTGACTGATTATCTTGGATATGCTGAATTAAGGTCCCTCCACAGAACTGATGATTCTCGATCATAAAATCGGTTTTGAAATAAGCACACGGAACGATAGCCTGAAGTGTCTACTTTCAGAATCTGTAAAGATTTTGGTTATAGAAGTGATTTTTCGTCGCTTTCAAGCAAGTTT